TAAAGGGACTCTGTAAAAAGGTGTGGGCAGATCTCAGTGATAGAAACAGGTGACGTGCAGTCTAGGGGCTGGTGAGTGGGGAGCCACACCATCCCGCAGCAGAAGAGGCTAGAGGAGGAAGGTGCTGCAGGACTGGGGAGAGAGCCCTGTGGTTGGACACCTCACAGGAGAGACAGGAGGGAGAAATAGCTGACCTCACTCTTCTGCGGGTGCCAGACACTGGTCAACCCAATCAGAAGCCAGAATACAAGGGACCCCACTGATGGACTCCACATGGGTGAGCTCATGGGCACTGAGTGAGGCAGAGAAGACTGGAGAGTGAGCTGCAGGTGACCAAAGACGTCCAGCACAAAGAGGTTTTTGTGACTTCTATAAAACTCATCAATAAGAACCCCAAACCCTCAGTGCCCTTGTGCTGTGTTTCCCATTGTCTCAGACACCCTCCTTACTCCTCCAGCCAAATGACTTCCGGCTCTTCATAGCCACACCTTCCCCTGGGCTCCCACAGCACCCAGTGCTTACCCCCTGGCCCAGCCACATGCAGCCTGGGATTTTGTCCTCTATCATTTACTCACCTGGTTTCTCACAGGACTGTAAGAACCTTGAGGGCTGACATTTTAATTCACTCTGCATCCTCAGCACCCAGCATAGAAATAAATGAACAATAAAGTCTTCTATGAAGCTTATGGATTTGAGGCAAAGCTGGAGCATCCAAGTCTTAACTGGAGGGAATATCTCAGGAACTGAGATATTAGGGAACTGAAGCCCTTTTCTAGGTGAGTGTTTTCTGTCTGTTCTGGGGCAATGGGTCTGTGAGACTGCTGGGCAGGGGCTGGTCCTCAGAGAAGCTAGAGCAGAGCCCTTTGGGTCTCCCTTAAGTCTAGCCCCATTACCTCATGAAGGTCTGGTAAACCCTCCTCAGGGTTTCTCAGTCTCTGGGATGTCCCCGTGATGAGTTATAGTTCATGTTGTTGGCCTCCTGGTTAGGACTGCAAATTGAGGTTATTCTTGTTTCCCTTATGAATCAAGGGGATTTAAACATGGTGATTATATCTGCTATTTGACTCTCTGTTTTGAATGAGAAGACAGTTTTGAGTCCCTGAAAGAATCTTTGCAATCCTTTTACAATTCAATAAAAATAAGACATGCTCCTAATTCAAAGAGCTCAGAAGGGGAAAATGTTGAGAAGGACATAATATAAAATATTATACTGTGAAAAATGAAATGTTTCCCCTTTCATCTCTATACCCAGTCTCACTTTTAACCATTTTAGTTTTTAATTCTACTGGTCATTGTCATTCTAACTCTAAATTCATTTATAGGGCCATTTCCTGATTTATCATGCTTGAATAGAAATGACTGAAGTATTCCTGGGGGGAAAGAGGGATTCAGCTTACCGACAGCAATCCCTCTGCCTTCCCCTTGTGCAAATGCAGTGGACATTTAAGGAGATTCTGCCATATTCAGCTCTAGAATCAAGATTCTTTCAGTTTTTGTTACTTATATTTTAAATGTGGGTTTGCACTGGATTACCTATATAATTTTAAGGGGTAGATATGTTTGTGTTCCTCAATAGATTGACTTGCCATAGAATGCCCTGACCCTCCAAGTGTTTGAGTTGAGGCAACTGGTGGCCTCGAGCTTCTTTCTACTTTTTATTTCCAACTACAGGTCAGAGGATAACATTCATAACATTTGCATTCTATGCTATAATTACAATTAATTCAACTTTATCCCTGGAATGATTGTTTAAATGAAAAATTAATAGATTATTAATAAATTAAACTTTATTATATAACATTTTTGCAGCTAATATTCTCCAAGACCTAAAGTTTTATTTTGACCCATAGTAAAGAAGATAGATTCTGATAGCACCTGCTGCATAAAGGAAAAGGTCCCAAGCATCAAGGTTGAATGAACTCTCTTTTTTCCTATTCTTATATTCTGTCAGCTGTTCAAATCATTTATTTGACTTCCTGTATAAACCATGGGCTTTATAAAAAATTTTTTAATGGAATTTCTAATCACTTTTCTTTTTAAAGTTGAAAAACCAGTTTCTCCATAATATTCCTTGTTGCACAGAATTTTCTTTATACCTGAAGCATTTTTCTCAGAGTTGTCTGAATTCTCATTCTAACCTGGACAACTGTTTCATTCTGTCGACGGGCATTCACCCTGGAATGCTTTATTGTGTAGTTGGCTTAAGTATTCTATGTCTTGGATCCCATGCATCTTCCTCTTTTGACTTCTTTTCATTGTTTGGAAGCATAGATTTAAATAACTGTTTTGTAAAGAGCCATTTAATGTTTGAAAAATTGGTATGCATACTTGATTATTAGTAGAACTTGGGAAATCTTTGCATTTAGTCAATTTTTTTTTAGCAATACAGTCTCTTTTCTACCCAGAAAAACTTTCAGAATTAAGTTTTTTTTTGTATAAACTTCACAATAAATATTTCACTTGTTCCAAATTTTGCCATCAGTATTGCCATATTGATTTTTTGTTAATGTATCAACTTTTATTGTGAGTACAGCTCTTAGCTCTTATTTCCACTGTCCCAGTTTCCTACTTTAATTAAACAGTACTTGAATTTTGCATCATATTGTTTTTTTTATTTTTTACTTGTTTTAATTAGTTACATATGACAGTAGAATGCATTTATGCATTTTAATATGTCATATATAGATGGGATATAATTTCTCATTTTTCTGAGTGTACATGTTGCAGAATCATATTGGTCATGCAGTTGCATATATACATACAGTAATAATGTCTGTTTCATTCTATTAAGTTTCCTATCCCCACAACCCCCCCCATCACTTCCCTCTACCTAATCTAAGGTAACACTATTCTTCCCTAGTGCTCCCCGCCTTATTGTGAATTAGCATCTGCATATTAGAGAAAACATTTGGCCTTTGGTTTGTGGGATTGGCTTATTTCGCTGAGCATGATATTCTCCACCTCCAACCATTTACTGGCAAATGCCATAATTTCACTCTTCTTTAAAACTGAGTAATATTCCATTGAGCATATAGATCGTATTTATCGATTCATATTGTTTTGATAAAACAAGTTTGCTGCATTTTATTTTATTTTGTCAAATTTATTTGAGTTGATAGTTTTTAAATTTTTTTTTTCTCCTCGGTCAATTTTTGCAGCTTTCAATGTCACCTTTAAGATGTAATCTTTTAGTGTTTTATTATCTATAACAAATATTATGTGTGTGATTTCAGGGGTTACCAGTTTTATTTTGTGTTATTTATATCAACTCTCTTTTCCTCAAGAACCTGGGCAAAATGTCTCCCAGGGTCACAATGAGGGTCAGACCTTCCAATCTCTTAATAGTCACATGATTATGGCAGTAGCTCTCCACGGCAACCTTGCTATAACTTAACGAAGTCTAGTTTCTGTCATCCAGGATCCTTTTCAATACATTGATTTTATAGAATTAACTAACATCCATATGCTGTTGATTATCAAAAACTTAATTTCATCCTAATTATCTTTCTTGAAGTCTAGAGCAAAACGCAGTGGAGTCTCATTATATGCCCACTTCATTTACACAAACTCAATTATATATGTTGCTGAGAATGTAGGAAGGGGAGAAAAATTGATTTAAGTAGCATGTACAATTCTATCATCCAGACGATCAATAATGAGCTTGACACTACATGGGATAGAAAGTAATGAATCTACAGTCCCATGTCTACTTTCAGTTGATGGTTTTGACTCAAATGGTATTAGCATTGCGCTGACCTGAATAATGCATGTTTAAAGAGATATGTTACCTTAACTTGTTTGGGGTTTAACTTATGTGGTGCTGAAAGAAAAGATGTTTGGCATCCCTGGACATACCCGTGAAAGTAGAACCCCATCATTATGACAGAAACCAACCTTGCTGAGACAGGCATTGGGATGATTCTCCAGTATTCCTTCCAGAGAAGTTTTAACAGTATGTTTGTTTTTTTTTCCCTTGTGTGCTATTTCAGAGTGTAACATGTATAAACTGTGATTTTCCTGTACTCAAGTGCCTCTGGTTCCCTCCACTTGCAGGTTTCCCAAGCAGCTTCAACTTCATGTGTTTGAAACTGAATTTATTCCCCCAACGCTTCCTGCTTCCCTAGTGCTATCTCAGTGAGTGGTGCCAAGGTTTGCCTCACTGCCCAAGCCAGGGACCTTGGTAAGGACCATCTTCTCCCTGGTCAAGACGATTATTCCTCAGTAACTCACAAATCCATCCATTCCATTAGGGCCCCCTCTGAGGTTTGATCTGTTGCAACAGTTTCCAAGGTCATTTCTGATTCTAGCCTCCTACCTCCTTCAACGTTGTGTCTTCAGTCTGGTCAATTCCCACCAGTTAGAGGGATTTTTTTTTTTTTAAATCCTCATAGTGTTATCCTTTACAGTCATCATCATCATCATTATGAAAACCAAAACCTCCACAATTCCCCATTACGTTCAGGGCAAGTCCATGATCTTTGTCAAGGATTACAGGTCTGCACATGCTGTCTCTCTGCTGATTAAAACCTTATCTGGGTTTCAGTTTTAGAGACAGGTCTTCTTCTGCTCATTGGTTCCTGAACTCAGCTTCCCATGTATTCTTCCAGGAATGACATTTCTTTTTGGTCTTGTGTATACACACCCAAAATTTTAGCTGTACCCATAGTGGTAGTCACTTCTGATCTGCCACACAACCAATGAGCCTCCAACCCCCTCAACCTCAACTCGTTTTTATTTTTATTTTTAAATTAGGCCTTTATGGTTGTACATAGTAGTTGGGTTCATCTGGCCAAACTCATACATGCATGGAAATTGATTTCAGTTTATGATCCTTCCTGTTCCCTCCCCGTTTTCCTTCCCATCCTCCCCCTCAACCTCAACTCCTGTAGATCCCCATAACATCAGCCTTTGATACTAAAACCCAGGGCAGGGCTGCGTTTTTTTCTACCTCCCGTGAGCTCCCTCAGGATTTTCAGTTTGTCTCCATCACAAGGGTGAAGATGGATGACAGGTGCTACCCAGTGATCTTCCCAGATGAGCGGAATTTCTGCCCCTTCACTTCTGACTCTCTGGCTGCAATAGAGAAGCGGATTGCTGCCCAAAAAGAGAAAAAGAAGTCCAAAGACAAGACTGTGGCAGAACCCCAACTTCGACCTCAACTTGACCTGAAGGCCTCCAGGAAGTTGCCCAAGCTCTATGGCAACATTCCCCGTGACCTGATAGCGAAGCCCCTGGAAGACTTGGACCCGTACTATAGAAATCATAAGGTATTTCTGTGGGGAGGCTGGGGTGTCCATGAGTTGCTTCATTCTCAGAGCTTAGGTAGAAATGCTAGGAAGAAATGGGCACAGGTTGGTATTCTTCAATGGGGATCTTTTGGGCATTTGGGATGGGACAATGCACCATTTAGCAGATTTGTTTGGCACCCCTGGACATACCTGTGAAAGTAGAACCCCGTCATTATGACAGATAACCCAAAATACTCACACATTTCTATTTCCTCCATCATATCCCGTTGGGTGAATAGTCCATCCTCCAACAGTTATCTTGAGACTTGATCCATGTGGAGAAATTCACTGCCCTCTGGAGTCAAAAGGTTGCTGGTTAAAAAGTACCTTAGTCTTTAGAATGATTCTGCAATCCAAAGTTGCAGTTCTTGTTAAAAGTCAAACCAGGATTCAACCTGTGGTTCCCTTGAATTTCTTATAAATGAACTCATAATACATGTTTTTGTCATTGCATTTAATTCCCATTGTGTTTTGCAGACATTTATGGTGTTGAACAAGAAGAGAACCATCTACCGCTTCAGTGCCAAGCGTGCCTTGTTCATTTTGGGACCTTTCAATCCACTCAGAAGTTTAGCCATTAGAATCCTGGTCAATTCATATCCTTTTGCTACGTCCAGGTCACATGAAAGGTGCACAAGTCCCAGGGTGTTTACATGTCCATGGAGTGGAAGCCAACACTCATCTGTTTAGCAAGTACTGGCTGAGTGCTACTGTAGAAGCACTGGTGGGCATTGTCCCGGAGGGTGGGTGTCAACAGGTGTGGCCCCTGCCACCTGTTATGGGATCCTTGGTTTCAGAAGGAGGTAGAATAAATGGCAGGTAGCTTACAAGAGAAAGAGATCAGCAGTTTGGGAGTGGCCATGTGGAGAAGAGCTGCCCCAGAGGTACCCAAGGACAGCTTCATAGAGGAAGGAGAATTAAATTGATGCCCACACACCTTATTGGCTCGACAAATGCATCATGTTAGACCTACACAGTGTTTAAACATTCTGCAAACATTTTGTAACGCAAAAAAGCCAGATTTCCAGCCTCTCTTGCAAAATGGAATCTCTGGCATGTCTAGGCTACATTACTACCTGGAAAAAAAAAATCGATATCATGATAAACCATCGCCTCTTTTAGAGGGGCATGCAAGCTCTGTTTCACCACATCTGTACCCCTCCAATGGCCCAGCATGAGCTTGCTTTGCAAATATGATGCTCCAGCCTCCTAAGACAGAGTTTGCAACCTTGGTTTTAAAGGCTAAAGACAGACATTATTAAGCATTTCTGATGTGTGCAGGGGATAGGGGAGACACTAGATCATTTTAAACAAAGGGAAGTGAAAACAGAACATGGTTTACTGAACATGGTAAAATATTGAGGAGAATGGTAATGAAGTTAAGTTGGTTTCCCTAGAAACAGGGCCTGTGGCGGGGACTCTCATTTAAGTAATTTAGTAGAGGAGTGCTCTCTAAAGAAGGAGAAAGGAAAGCAAGATGGGGCAAAAGACTGTGATCTCAGCTATGTCTGCTTAAGCCTGATTCCAGGAGGAGCTCTGGGACTTGGATGGCACCAGACTTACATGGTGTTGTCCAACTTTGAAGTGAAGGGCCAGATTTTTGTAAGTCTGTGTCAGCCAGACCTGCAGAAGAGAGTGTGTAGGTCTCCGGGATGTGTAGCTCTTGGTTTGGTAGGGGACAGTTCTGCAGAGGGGACAGGCATGAGTTGTTCTCAGCTGAGTCTTACAATTAGAGGGTGGATGCTCTTACAGAAAAGGCTGCCAGGAGGTCCCCCCCACAGCAACAACCTCCACCTCAGTAACTAACAGCAAGTGTTATCCCACAGTGTATCTACCTTAATGGGTGCTGGTCACATTGTTCAGCATGTTCATCATCTGCACAGTCATTGTCAACTGTGGGCTAATGGCTGCGGTTGGCTTTAAGGAAAACAATTGCACCGACATTAAGGAAAACAATAGCACCGGCAATAAGGAAAACAGTACCGAGACAGACGTTTCTGAGTGAGTACTGAGTACAGGCACTACGAGCGAGTACTTGTTCACCTGTCCTAAGTTGCAAAACAGCTGCCTGAAGAATCTATTCAAGTTGAGAGAAAGAACAAGTCCCCAATAGTCCCAATTCCCCAATGTAAATGCTGGCAGAATCAGACTTATTTTTTTTATACTGGGAATTGAACCCAGAGGCACTTAAGTGTGTGTGAAGCACTGACCCACATCCCCAGCCTTTTTAAAAAAATATTTTATTTAGAGACAGGGTCTCACTGAGTTGCTTAGGGCCTCACTATGTTGCTGAGGCTGAATTTGAACTTGAGATCCTACTGCCTCAGCCTCCTGAGCTTCTGGGATTATGGGCGTGTGCCCCTGCGCCTGATTGGAGTCAGACTTATTTTTGTACTTTTTTAAAAAAACAATTGTCTTTAAAGGAGTTTTAAAATTACATTTATAATAAACAGAATATGCACAATTTGTGTCTACATCTTAAGTAGTGTACTTTGTGCTTACCTGAGTTTTATAGGAATCCACTGTGATGGCTAATTTTTGTCAGAAAATAAATCATGATTTACTTAACCTTTCTGGTATTTAAGTGGCATTGTCACTTCAGGAAGCTATTTTAAAATGACCATTTTTTTTTTTCAGAACAGATTCTTAGAAATTAGTTTCCAAGGGCAAAATAAACATTTTAATGCTTCTAAATAGACAAAATATTTTCCAAAAAGTTCGTGTTTATTTACCATCATCAATATATTCTAATAACCAATCATATCACATTCTGCCTGCTTTCAGTTTTTCTTCTTCAACTTATATAATTAAAATATTTATATTTCTTTACTTTCCTTATGTGCAAGACTTTCTGATGTTTTAGTTTCCCATTTTTGTCCATGTATCCTGTTCAGTTTGAGTGAATTCATTGTATAATTAAAATATTTTTTGTCATTTTAATTGACTTTTCAGACAAGTTGTTTTTTAAGTTAGAAATTTCTAAATTTGGTATTTTCTTACATATTGCATGAGGTTTTTTTAAAAAAATTTATTTTAGTTTTCCTTTCCTCCCTTTTCCTTCCCAATCTCTGGTGACCACCATTCTATTTCATTCTTTGAGATGACCTATTTAGTTCGTTTCCACGTACAAGTGAGAACATGTGTTATAAGTCTTTCTGGCTTATTTTGCTTAACACAGTGACTTCCAGTTCTATGCTATTGCCTCAAATGACAGGATTTCATTCTTTTTTTTTTTTTTTTATGGCCCAGTATTACTCTACTGTGTATATATACCACACTTTTTTTTTTCATTCATTAACTGATGGCCATCTAGGTTGATTCAATATTTTAGCTACTATGAATAGTGCAGCAGTAAATGTAGAAATACAAATATCTTTTTGGTATATTAATTTCATCTCCTTTGCATATATACTCAGTAGTGGAATTGCTGAATCAAATGGTAGTTCTATTTTTAGTTTTTTGAGGAATCTCTATATTTCTCTGCATGAGGGCTGTACTAATTCTTACTTCCATCAACAGTATGTAAGAGTTACTCTTTCTCCATATTTTTAGTAGCATTTGTTAATTTTTTGTCTTTTTGATGATAGGCATTCTAACTTGGGTGAGATAACACCTCATTGTGGCTTTGAATTGCATTTCCCTGATGAAGTGTATGTTGAGCATCTTTTCACATACTTTTTGGCCATTTGCATGTCTTCTTTTGAGAAATGTCTACATAGATAATGAGCCTACTCTTAATCAGATTATTATTATTATTATTATTATTATTATTATTATTATTTTTCTGTTGAGTTCTTTGAGTTTCTTACATATTCTGTATTTTAATTCCTTGTCCAGTGGATAGTTTGCAAGTACTTTCTCCCATTCTTCAGGTAATCTCTTAACTTCTTAACTCTGTTGGTTATTTCCTTTGTCTCATTAATTTCCAATTTAATTCAGTTGCGGTCAGAGAAAATGTATGTAGAATTTCAGTTTTTGGAGATCAAGAGAAACTTTTTTATTGTCTGTCTTGGGAATGTTTCAGGTGCACTTGAGAAGAAGGCTGCAGTTCTTTGGTGTGGTGTTCCATAAGTGGTCGTCAGTTAAGGTGGTTAATAGGGCCATTTAGATCTTTTATACCTTTACTGATTTTCCTACTTAGCGTTTTTATAAATTGTGAAAAAGAGGCTTGAAATTTCCATCTGTGGTCATGGATTTGTCTATTATTCCTTTCTTTTTGTCTAATTTTGCTTTGTGCATCTTGAAGCACTATTTTAGACACACTTACATTTAAGATTATTATATTTTTCTGATGTATGCATTTTTTTAATATTATGAAATGGGTTCTTTCTAACAATACTCATTTTAATGTTTATTATTAGTATAGCTCTTCCATTTTCTTATGTTGTTTGCGTGGTATATCTTTTTCCATCTTTTTACTTTCAACCTTTTTGTATCTGAATTTATAGCATATCTCTTGTACAGAGCACTTATATTGTAGGTACTTTTGTGGTCTATTTGTCTTTTGATGGAATATTTAGTCCATTTACATTTAATATAGTTGTGATTATACTTAAACTTAGGTCCATTTAAAACAAAATTTTAGATGTTGCTGGACCTTTATTTCATTAAATATTTTTATGTGGTGCTGAGAATTGAACCCAGTGCCTCACACATGCTAGGCAAGCCCTCTACCACTGATCCACTACTCCAGCCCAAGGTCCATTTTTAATTGGTTTTTCTATTTATCTCATTTGTTTTTTTGCTTCTTTGCTATACTATTTTTCTTTCATTACTGTCTCCTTCAATATCAATTAGTTATATTTTAATTTTATATATAATTTTATATCACAATATACTGATAGTTAATATTGAATTGCTTCAGGTAAACACAGGAAACTTGCCACAGTATAATTTCACATCTGTTTGTTATTTGTCATTTATTTAAAGTAATATACAGAACAATACCAACAATACAGTCTATAGCTTTTGCTTTAAGTAGGTACATGTCTTTTTTAAAGTCATACCTGCATGTAGACATAAATTATCTTCTGGTATCATTTCTCTTCAGCCTGAATAACTTCCTTTAGTAGCTATGTTTTCAACGTTTTATTGATGCAACACAATTGTACATAGTAATTGGATTCATCATTCCACATTCCTATATGCAAATAATTGTTCAATCTCATTCCCCAGTACCTTTCCTTTCCCTCTTCTATTCCTTCCCGCTATCTACTTGCTTTATTCTACTGATTTCTCTTCTACTATTATTATTATTTTACTTAGTGAATTATAATTATATATGTAAGTGGGATTCATTGTGGTGTATCCACACGTGGACATAGCAAACTTTGGTAGATTTCATTCCCCAGTACTTCCCTTTGCTCTTTTCTCTTTCCCTTCTCTTGATCTCCTATATTCCATTGGTTTCCCTTCTATTTTTTGTGAGATCCCCTTTTAATTCCTTTCTTTCCCTTCCCCCCTTCTCACTCTCCTGCATATGAGAGAAAACATTTGACTCTTGACATTTAAGTCTGGCATTTAAATCTGACATTTAAATTTATTTCACTTAACATGATGTTCTCCAGTTCCATCCACTTACCAGCAAATGATGCAATTTAGTTCTCCTTTAATCATTTTTGTGGTTCAGTTCTAGCACATTCTCTAAGTTTATATCTATCTGAAAATGTTTATATTTTGTATTCTTTTCTTCGAGAAGTAATTTCATTGACTATAGAATTCTTGCTTGATAATTTTTCTTCTAGCACTTTAAGGATGTTTTATCACTGCTTTCTGGCCCCTGTTTAGCTCCCTCTTGCTTCCAGGATTTTCTCCCTAAATTTCCATCTTCTCTAACAGCTCCGAAACCCATCCTCTGCCACCTTATATCCTAGGGCTACAGCCATTTGTCAATGCTGAGAAGGGAGCAGGAAAGTTGAAAAATACTTTACAACCAAAATAGTTACACATTTTCATAATTCTTAGGCAATGCAGTTAACTTCCTTTAAAAGGGATATTTCCATGGGATGGGGTTTTAGCTTAGTGGTGAGTGCTTGCCTAGCATGTGTGAAGACCTGGATTCTATCTCCAGTACCACATGATAAATAAATAGGTAAATAAATAAATTAAATGGATTTTCTCTTTAGTTTCTACCTCTCCCTGCCCCCAGTACTGAGGACAGAACCCAGGCGTATTTTTAATTTTGAGACAGGGTCTTACTAAGTGGCTGAGATTAGCCTTAAACTTGTGATTCTCCTGCCTCCGCCTCCTGAGTTGCTGGAATTATAAGCATGGGCTACTACACTTGGACTTTTGTTATTTTTTGAGGACCTTCAAATAATGGTCCTTATATATTTCATCTAGTTTAATACTCATTATTTGTGGAAGGGTTTTCCAAACCTCCGCACACCTCCACCACCATAAGCAGGAGTCAATTATCTCTTAATTTTTTTCCATGCAGTAAAATTTAACAAAATTTTCTCTTATGTTTATGGGTTTTGACTTAGAGTTAGATTTTCTCTAGCTTTCAGTTATAAAGAATCCTCCCATATTTTCTTAAGGTGCATTTTATTTTTTTTTTTTTTTAAATATTTATTTATTTTTTTTAGTTTTCCGCGAACACAACATCTTTGTATGTGGTGCTGAGAATCGAACCCGGGCCGCACGCATGCCAGGCAAGCGCGCTACCGATTGAGCCACATCCCCAGCCCTTAAGGTGCATTTTAAAAAATTGATGATCTCAAATTATACAGACTGGTGGGTGTCACGGTGGCATATTCACATGTATAAAAAGACATAATTTGATCCATTTCATTCCCCAATACCCTCCCTCCTCTCTCACCTCCCTTCCCCTCAACCCCTCCTTTTACCCTAATGGTCACCTTCTACTTTCCTGGCATCCCTTTCCCCCCCCTCTAGATTCCACAAATGAGGGAAAACATATAGTACTATTTTCTCTGAATCTAGCTTATTGTGCTCAAAATTATAGTCTCCAGTTCCATCCATTTTTCCTGCAAATGACA